TACCCACTTAACACGTTTTACTGTAGCATTTTACTTTTTTCTTGTTAAAATTGCAAACCATTTTAACAACGTATAGCCCATTTTCTTGCCTGTAGCAAGAAAATTATTACTGTGAGACACTCCCACTTTGGCACCCCTCCAGATTGTTTAACAGCCTTTATAAGACTGCAAAGTTAGTATTTACTTTGAATTTTGCATATTTGTATAATTCAGTGTTCAATTTTATAAATAATATTAAATAGGCTAATCAAATTGACTCACCGGTTGTTCTCTTGAAACGCACTTACACTGGACTATCACCCAAAAGAATTCTTCAAATTCCAAGTGACTTGCGACAGTTGAAATGTTGTCCAAATCACTGACAGTTCACTGGCGATGATAGAACCCGTTCAGCTATGACAACAAGGAAAGCTTCAGGTCTGAGCACAGAAGTTTCAGCTTTAAATAGCTTATCTGAGCAGCACGCCCTCCTCCTCTTTCTCACCCTTCTCCTCCTCTTTCACTCAGTAGCTTGGTAGTGTGCTGGCACGTCTCCAGTGAAACATGAGGAAAACATTCTCACTATTCAGGACCAATTCATTTAACTATTTATAATTTTCACACGTGTAAGGTTTTTAGTTTTTAGACTTCCATAATGCCAATGGACTTGAAATAAGTTTGAATCTTGGCTTTGGTATGTTGCTACTGGTAAATTTTAAATGCTAATCCTTTTTATTGTATCAATTCAACAACATGCCTGATTGATTTAATTAGTGGACATTTAAAGGAATGATTGTGAAAGATGTCTCAAATGAAAGATAGCAACAGATGAGATGGGATTATAGTTCTTTTTGAAAACTTTTGTGTGCTGCATTATAAGATTAAGGACAATGAACATTTTAGAATTCAGCCATTGAGAAAATGTTAACCTCGTTTTTCTCATGCTGTACTTTAAATTTTGGCCACAAGACCATTATGATGTTTTAATGTTTTAGATTTATCATCATTGTTTAGAAGTTGTTTTTTTATTATTATTATTATTTCACATAATCAAAGTTTTATAGTGTGTTTAAGACATTCTTAGATCATAACTCCTGGCCAATTCAGTTTTGCTTAACTACACTTTTAGGCATCAGGCCAGTCTCCACAAGTCCCCATGGCTCCAGTTTAAATTCAGGCTTCCAGCACCATTGGACGCTACTTCATAGGGTGAATTTGAATAGCATGGCAACTTCTCAAGACTAAAAGATCAAAGAAAGCTCATCTTCACATTTCCGAGAAACAGGTGTACCAGCAACACCATACCAGGAAATGTGTATTTACACCCTTGTTCGTTTTTATTTTCTAGCTGACAGTCTGTTTGCGGGTTTTGTTTTTTTTTTGCAGTGGAAATTTACAGAGGCAAATTCCAAAGGAGAAACAGATTAGAATTCTGAACAGCAAGCCTGCTGCACAATCTGGGTTGAAGGCCGAGGCCCCCCATTGCTGGTAATTGTGTGACTTCGCACCAATAGCATTAACCCACTTGCCACTGATCAGAGAGCAGTCTGAAGTTTGTCCTAACTCTGAAGGCTTCTGGCTTCTGTTTGAAGGCTGATTCAGGAACAGTGTTAAAAGGATAAATAAATCCAGAGATTTTCTTTGAATTCTTATCGTCCATATGGGACAGCAGGAAATTGTTTGTCCCAAAAAAGTTGTGGTGGGATTTTTTTTATTTCCAGTTAATTGAGATCCATTTTATTATCTGAATCCAAACCCCTTTTTCCCCTTTAGACTCCTACAAAAAAACAAGCAATTACATTTTTTTCTCGTTGTTTTTGACTTGGTCCAGAAAGTGTCTTTCTTATTTTTTTTGCTCCCTCTGAATGAAGCCATTTTCATGCTCTATGTTTTTTTTTTTTCATTTCTTTCTCTCCTGGTCTCACCTGTTTCTCCTGTTTAGCTCCTCCTCTTTTTTCTAATTTTGACATCTACAGGAAGTAGGTAAAGAAGAAATTTGCAGTCCTGTAGTGACACACATAAGCAAATAGTGTCTGAAAGTAGAATCACTCCGCATTTTTTCTATAACAAAAACCCTGAATCAGAAGACAACTGATCTCAGACCTGCATGAAAAAAGCTTACTGCTAGCTTTCCAGTAAGAGAAAATGAAACTTGGTTCCGTTCATTTTCTGACTCTCTCCTTCCACGCTTTTAGAGCAAAATATCTTTTTATAACTTGAAAATTGTTGTTCTGTTTAAACAGTAATAAGGAGCATCCTTAACACTGTTTAAAACTTGTTCTCCCACGTAAGGAAAATAATGTTTGTCAAGAGCATTAAATGGGATTGGGGATCTGATACCTCATATAGAGTGAATCTTTCACTGCATACTGTTTAATGAAATGGTGTTGAGATCAGATCTCACAGGATAAGAATAGCAACTGTGCAAAACTTATCACGGAGGTGAGATGACACAATTAAGGTCACAATTACAGATAGTAGTGTATTAAACCATAGCGGGCATACAAAGAAACACCCATGTTTATGCAATCAGATTATGGATCACAGCTGTTAACATTAGTTTTCCACTGACAGGCTAATATAGGCCTAACTATCTATTGTTGATACACTCCATTTGTTTTGCTTCACCAGATTTACCTTAAGCATTATCAACTAAAAACTTGTTGCTTTTGTAAAATCTAATCACATGGATTTTCCATAGTGTTTCTCCACTATTGTTGATGATTTAACCAAATCTAATCAACTCTCTCATGCTTTGTGTGGCATTGTGAGAAGAATAATTACCTATGATCAACAACATCAACTACGATGAAATCTTTATTAAGAGTATATTACAAAAATATACAACAAATATTACAACAAAATACGAACTAATATACGCTTTCAAAATGAGAGATAAATAGGCTGTAGTAAAAAAAAGAAATGTGTTAGAGGAACTAACTGTGCTTTAGTAGTAAAGCACAAACATTCAACAAAAGTCTATGGTAGTGCAATAGTTTAAACAGAATGACAAAATCCTCTGCAGAAACCCAAAAAGAAATGATATGCCTGATGGTTCTATTTGAGTTGGCATATGTACACACTCTCCGAGAAAGATGAGTGATTTAATGAGTATTTACTGTCTCATGCACACTAAAGCTGCAGAGCTTACTTGCATGCTGTTGTTTGGCTTCAGTGCACAGAAAATCTGCTCTAGTCCAGCTCAAATCGCTTTTTTACCAGTTTTCCCGCCCTGTTCTCACCCAAAATACCCCCTCCTCAAAATTGTAACCCCCCACCCTTTAATTTGTCCCTGTCAACAATCCACCTCCCCTCCACACACACTACTCCCTGGGGTGTGTGTGAGCTCACAAGAAGTCAGCGTCAAATTCCTACATTCATAACCAATAACGCCTATGATGTTACTTGTCGAGTTTTAGAGGAAATTAACCATGTAGAGAAAGACATGTAGTGACACAAAGCTGTTTATTTTTCAGGATTGCAATCCAATGTGTGCATGTATGTTACATTCTTAAAGACATACAAAGACAACTCCTTCTTAATTTCATCAGGATTAATGGAGTTAGTTTTTAACTAATTTTAATGAACCAATGAACAGAATGCTGTTTGAATTAAAAAAAAAAGAATAAAAAGAATAAAAAGATTCAGCGCTTTTCTGGTCTGTTTCCTTCTGCTAATGTCCGGAGCCATTGTGGACGCTGATGAGTGTTTTGTGTCTGTTCTCTGTGTCTAATTGATGGATGGTCATTGAATTAGGTCAATGCCACAGCCTCTTAATTTTTTTCCTTTAGCCCTTGTGATGTGCTAAAAATGCTTTAACTAATTTGGTGTTCCTGATCAAAAATTACCATGCAACTTTAAAAAAAAAGTGATTGTCATTTTCTCATTATGCTACATTATCACCAAATATTGGATTCAATCTTTTTGTCAACTTGTTTTCTTTCAAGAAACACAGGTTTTGTATTTCTTTTTGGAACTGATTGGTCATAGGCCTCAAGATTTTGAGTTAAAAAAGCTAGTTATTTGTGGAGAATTTTGGTAATGTTTTAAAAAAGGTGCATAAGCTCAGATCCTATGATCCTTCAGTTCTTTTTCAGTCCTATGATCAACCAGTTCCAAAAGAAAATACAAAAACTATGTTAATTGAAAGAAAACAAGTTGTCAAAAAGATTGGAGTGAATATTTGGTAATAAGATAGCATAACGAAAAAAAAACGTATAAGCAATTTTTTGTAGGATGGTCATTTTGACTGGGAACACCAAAAAGTGCAAAAAGTATTTAAGCTGTTATATTATTTAATTAAGTTGTTATTATATGTATATAAAATAAAATACAATATTTATACATTTATGTCATGCGTCATGTGTGTATGTTCACATGTGTGATCTCAATAAGAACAGAAAATGCTTTCCTGGAACACTCTGTCTGGTTTGAACAAGGTCTATACATTAAGCTGACGTAATGTGCACTAGGACATGCTGTTGCCTCTCTCCCCTTGTGGCTGAGACATGTATGGCTTGATTGGTCTGGGCAATCTGTAAACTTGTTTTGAGATTCTACAGCCTTTATCCTAGCATGAGCTTCAAATAGGTGTTTGTATGCAGGATTAGCAATTAGAGTGGAGGTCTGCTGTGGTAAAAACGAGTATGGGCTAAATGTGAGCACAGGGTATATAGACTCTATGCATCTCAGAGTTCAGGGAGCTAATAGCAATAGACATTAATTGGTACTTTATCAGACCATTCAAAAAGCAAATAGAAAACAGCCAGCCCATGGTTTCAGAGTCTCACCCCAAACGCAGTGGAAACTAGAAAGGCAAAGAAAAAGAAAAAACAAAACAAAACTTGATGCCTCCTGCCAAGAACACCAGAAAAAAAAAATACAGGGTATTTCTGTAACCTGTAGACTAGAGGAAATATCATTCTCATGCAATCTGATGCCAACTCTAAAGATAGACATTACTCAAGTTAATAATTCATGCCTCAAAACGGCATTTTATGGCTCATGAGAGACTAAATAAATGTCAGCAAATTATGTTTATTGTGAAAGAAGGTTGTTTTGGATCATTAGGACCTGATGATTCCAAAATGCACAAAGTTTATAAAAAAGGACAAAGTATTTCTACATTTCTACTACTTGATATTTGTTTATAATGTACTGCTACAATAGCACTAACACATAATAAAGTTAAAATACGGTTACATTTACAAACAACATCACTTTAGGGATGGCATGTATTGCAAGTTGTAAGTGTTGTGTGAAAGCTCTTGTCCTGTTATCATTGTTGATTTGTTTGTTGTTGTTTTCCTCCTCCGCAGATCTTACAGACCTCCCTCATCCTGTTGTACAGAGAAGAGAGCTCATTCTCAATATATGAATAGGGCATCTCATTATTATTTTAGTGTTGAGAGGTCTTAATGTTTACACAGTTTGGATTTGTTTGTCTATGATTGACCTCAAAGACTACAGTGGTAACTGGTTATAATACAGTCTATTGTCCATGCTGCCAATATTCTGTTTAGTAGACAGCAAAAAGTGATTCTCTTTTACATGCCAGTCTGTCAAATGCAGTTTTCATTCAGGAAATTAAACTCACAACTGTTACGCAAAACTTACCGATTTTCTTTTTCGGCAGTCTCCACACAGGCAGCCCACACATCCATTCACAACCTGAATGACACAGAGTATCATCTGGATCAGAGACAGTCCCAAAAGTATGGAGAACAGCACGATGTGCCAGAGAATCACATTCTCGGGAAAGACACACTCGGACCATATAGACTTATCCGCTAGGTAACTGCTGTTCCTGTTACAGCAAGACAAAAAGAAAAGAGAAGGAGCTTTAGTTGAAGTGCAGGATAACACCTCATCTAGTGGTCATACAAAGAGCTGTAATTTCATTGCATTCATTTCATTTTTCTTTTAGGTTTTAGGTGTTCTTACCCTACCGTATCCTCAAAGGGATATTCCCATTTACCACCCTCAATTTGGCATTTTGGCCCAACAGCGAGTGCTGCAATGGCAACACAGGCACAATAGGCCGACCCAGCAATGCCAAACACAGACGAGAAAACAGAATTCAGCATCTGAACAAAACAAAAACAGCATGAAATGTTAAACAATCAAAATATGTTATATATACACTGTATGTAATTTATCTGTACAATACATTTGTGTATATGCAAAAGAGAATGTTGTTTTTGTCTAACTGCTAAAAATATTTGCACATTGTACAGCTTCTCCAGTGAGCTTCCTGTTGTGATGGATAGTGATTTTACATTTTTGGTTACATTTTACATTTTTTCAGGTTTACTCACACGGCAACGGTTTCCACAGCAACCCGCCCCGCAACAGCCTTTGCCCCCGGCTCTGATGGCTGAGCAGCTTGGACACATCATCTGATAAATAAAAGTGAGTGCAAATTAACTTTTCATCAGCTGTGATGTCAACGAGATAAGGGTTGCTGTAAAGCAGGTTAAATAATGTTTGTGTAAATTACTTACTCTATGATAAAAAATTAAGGTTATTTATTGGCATCTGTGATTCCATGAAGAACTTTTAACATTCTTTACAGTGGAAAAATGTTCTTCAGATTATTCAAATGTTCTTCACACTGAGAAAATTTGTTCTTTAAATAACTGTTCACTAACTGTTTCTTTGGAGAACTCAAAATTGTCCTTCTGACATCACTGTGCAAAATCCCCTTTTGGAACCTTTATTTTTAAGAGTGATTGATTCTTCAAAATGCACTGAATTACACATCAAACTCATTCTACTTTTTCTGTAATATGTTTACTTGCTCATAGCATGATCGTTTGTAAATGCAATTATTGCTTGATGTGAACATGAGCTAACTTACGTAACCTCAGGATTAATGCATCCTGGTCATATCCAGGATGTTCAATACACTCTCAGAAAAATACAAATAAAAAGTTCAAAAGTTGTCATTAGACAGTACCTTTTCAAAGGGTACAAATATGTGCCATGAAGGTACTAATATGTACTCTAAAATGTACCTTTAAGGTACTTATATGCACACTTTAGGGGTAAATAAGGTATAAGCATATACCTTTTGAAAGGTTTCTGCCCCAGATTTTGTACCATTTTTTTCTGAGAGTGTAGTACGAAGTCAATGTATTTTTCAGGCTGTGAGCAGTAAAGCTCTGCATAATGGACCACTGTTCCTCATAACTGTACTTGCTCACCGCAGACATTCTGCTTTTGTTCCTCAATTCTAAGGATCCTTTATTCTCATTGACTAATATTGCTAATTTAACCATTCTAGTTCTCTTTATTGACCGGTGTGCCATATATTAATATATTCATACATTAATAAAGTAAATGGCACATAAAGGCTTGTAGCAGTGTGTTTGAAGTATCTGATGTTTGTGGCTTAATAGTTAGAGAGTCGGACTTGTAACTCAAAGGTCATGGGTTCGAGTCTTGGTACCGGCAGGTGTAGGTGTAGGTGGGGGGAGTGAATGACCATTGCTCTCTTCCACCATCAATACCACGACTGAGGTGAGACCCTTGAGCAAGGCACCGAACCTCCAACTGCTCCCTGAGCGCTGCAGCAAGCTCTTGGATGGGATAAATGTAGAGCACAAATTCTGAGTATGGTACACCATACTTGGCTACATGTCACGCCACTTCACTTCTAAAACATCAGGCCAAGTCAGTTCATGTTCATGTTAGTAAACAATAAAATTCCTATTGCACATTCTCAGAAAAAAAGATCTGTCACTGGGGTGGTTCCCTTTCAAAAGGTACACATTCGAACCTTATTTACCCCTACAGGGTGCATATAAGGACCTTAAAGTTACATATTAATACCTAAAGTGTATATTGTACTTTAATGGTACATATTTGTAGCTTTCAAAAAGGTACCACCCCGGTGAGAACTTCTGTAGCTTTTTTTCTAAGAGTGCATCTCATAATAACAAGACAGTCAGATTTGTTTTCTCAGGAAACAGCCAAGTTCAGACAAACACCACATTAATGATGAGATAAATACAACAGACTGAATTACTCACAATTAATCCTCCACCAAGAACACCTCCCATAAGCCAGACTTGAAGGGAAATCTGGTCAGTTTCCAACTGTTCTCCATTAGGGAAGAATAAAAGTATATTCGCTATTATACACAAAAAAGCTGAAGGCAGAAGTATTAGCCCCACTAACCGCGCACACTTCCCAGTACACATTGCGATGAATAAAAAACAAACAAATGTTATAAATCAGGAGAAATTGTCGAAGGCTGTGTTCTTCTCATGCAGCACAGGCTCTGACTGATACCACAGAATGCCCTTTGAGACTTGACAATGTTTACAGTGCTTTTATCAGTGCCATTTATGGTGCATTAACATAACAGCTGGCAGTGGATGAAGTTTCTGCTTTGGATAATTACTGTTAAACATGTATATGTGTATTGTGGCTGGTTAATCAGTGTAAGGTGTGTGGGGACAGTAAAGCCATTTAATTAATCCTGACAGAACAACAAGGCCCTGTTTTACACCCCGTTTTATAATATCTTGTGTTATAAATGGCAATTATAGGACTTAATTTATAATGCTTTTGTAAAGGTTAATGATACTTCTGGATTGTCATTTCTTTTTTGATCTCCTTCATTCACTCGACCATCTTTAAGCATGATTAAAACACTTATAAATTCATTTAACATAACAGAAATACTGTAACACTCAAGAGAAGTATGTCTTCAGCAATGGTTTTTATAACTAAAACAGTGGTTTGGGTTAAAGACTGTTGTGGTGACTGAAGGGACATCATCTTGTTTACCTTTCGAATATTATTGTAAAAAAAAAAAACCTATGTAACTATTCAACTGTAACGAAAATTAAAAGGTTGATAAAAAAATTTACGTTTTTAATAACACCAGCAGACCAAGATTTTGGGTCAAAAACTCAAGTAAATGAAAACTAAATATTTGGCCTTGCTGGTCGTGTAATCTGTACGTAAATCCGTACATAAATCTGTAACGTCATTAAAGGTGGGGTAAGTGATTTTTCAAAAACGCTTTAAAACTGATTCGGGCCGAATAGCAAAACAAACTTGTAGCCAATCAGCAGTAAGGGGCGTGTCTACTCATGATGTGGAGGAGAGAGAGTTCAGTAGTGATGGGAAGTCTATGATTAGCTCACCTCACCTCTTATGCCGAGTTCACACTGCACGATTTTAGCCTGATTTTTCACTCGCCGACAGGTTTTGCGAAATCGCCGACAAATGCCCTGAAATCGGAGGCAAAAGGATGCTCGTTCACGCGAGTGACAATCACGCAGTGTGAATTACCAAAGACGCGATCTGAGGGAATCGCCGATGCGTCGCCGAGGCCCGTGAAATATTTGGCATGCTAAATAAATGGAGTTCGGGGAGGAGTTATATGAAACGTAGTTTGGGACCAGTGTTGCCAAATCCGCGATTGCCGCCGGTTGTTTTTTATGTCAGCAGATTGAAGCGACCCCAATAACGTGATATTTAGGCCCTGGAATGTGAATTGTACCAGGAGAACCTTGCCAAAAAAATGTGTATTTTATCCCCGAATGCGATTTTTACTGGGGGACCCCCTCGAAAGCAATTGGGCTATTTTCAGGCTAGTTTTGAGTAGTAATTGGGCGGGTTTTGTAACGAAAACCTGGCAACCCTGCACCAGACATAGCTGTTGGTGATTCTTCCTATTGTAAAGTCATGCAGTGTGAACACAGCAACAACTGAATGCTACCCCAGATAGTCGTTCAGTGTGAAACCAACAGTGATGCGACGTCTTTGAAAATCGTGTAGTGTGAACTCGGCATTATCTGACAAGTCTTCGGGTTTGAGTCGTTCGTTCATTACGTGACAGCCCCATGAACTTAACCAATGCAGTCTGAGCCGGAAAGAGAATTGATTAGTTAATCTCTCGAGTCTTTGGGTTTGAGTCGTT